CGGGAAGACAATGGGATGGTATATATAAAACACTGAAAAAGAAAAATTTCCAACCAAGATTATGTACCCAGCAAAAGTGTCCCTCAAATATGATGGTGAAATTAGGACATTTCCAGATAAGCAAAAATTAAGGTAATTTGTTCAAACCAGACCAACCTTACAAGAAATGCTAAAGGGAGTCCTTTGGACAGAGAAACAACAACAGCAAACAATAACTGACCATTAACACATATGATGACATAACCCAGAAACAAACCCAGCTGTGGAAGTATCCAAAGTAAATAAGCCTACAAGATTGTAAACATGGAACCAGAGACATCATTTAACAAATGAGGACAACAACAAACCAAAAATGGGGAAAAAACTGTGTAGTTATAGAATTTGTAGATGGTAGAGAAGTCAAGACAACTACAAGGTAGAGCAGACTGTTCTAAACTTGGGAAGAAAATTCTAAATCACAGGGTGTTGTTGTTGTTATGTGCCGTCTAGTCAGCCCTGACTCATAGCAACCCCTCCTTGGGTTTCTGAGGCAGTATCACTACGGAAGTAGATTGCCCCATCTTCCTTCCTAGGAGTGGCTGGTGGGTTTGAACCACCAGCCTTCTGGTAAGCAGTCAAGTGCCTTAGGCACTACACTACCAGAACTAAATGATAAACTTACACATCAAAAAAGAGGACCAGCATAAATATTCAGCAAATACTAAAACAATAGCAATGAAGGGAGTGATTACATGATTCATAAAGAACAAAGAGATCAACACCACAAAAAAGCACATAACAAAAATGAAAGCAACAAATTCATATTTGCCTATAATTACATATATGACAAGGGACCTATCTCTAAGATTTATAGAAGAAGAATGGATGAGCAAACTATGGTACATACACATCATGGAATGCTATGCAACACTAAAGAAAAATGTAGAGTCTACAAAACACTGCATAATATAGATGAACTTGGAAGATATGCTGAGTGAAATAAGTCAATTACAGAAGGACAAACAGTATTAGTTCATTGTTGTGGAGGGTCAAGGAAAGGTTTATATATGGAGGGAAACTTTCTTTATTGGTTGCCAGGGATGGGAGGGGAAGGGGGGCAACATTACAAAAAAAAAAAAAAAATGCACTGACCTATGTCAGTTTAGTTCTGTGTATTTCACTGTACATAAGTTATATTTCAATAAAATGCATTAAAAAAATTGTCCAAAACACAACTATGGGTTGCCTCTAGCAGAAATAATGTGTGTTCCAGCTTGCCTTTGTAAATAATTGAATTTGCCTCTGAAGTTCAAGAAGTTCAAGATTTCTTATTGTATGTGAAACCGACTGCCTCTGTTTTCTCTTTTCATGTAGCAGACTATAATCTAAGGCAGAGGATATGCTGTGCAATTGCGATTTGGTGAGCAGGGAGGATAATAGAAGAAATTGACATGACTTCCATTGAAGAGTTATTTTTAAGCATAGAGAATGCCTACCTCCATGCTGAAAGGGCCTTTTGAAAATATTACTGGGATTGAAAAGCGGTGGGGGCAATTCCCATCACCTGGGATACCAGGGTCGGTTGGTAGGGTGTTGCTGCCACCTGCTGCATGCAAACAGCCATGGAGGGGCTGCTGCCCAGGTCTTGCAGGGCACCTGGTATATTCAATTAATATTCAGTGAGTACCTGAAAATTTTCTCCTCTTAGAATCAAGGTGGCTCCCAAAGGAAAACTAATCAAATCTGATGGCTCCAGTTCACAGAGGTTTCTAGGCATAAGAGGCTGTTCTTCACCCTCCACAGGAGCCAGATCCTAAATAACACCCAGAAATGGCAGATTTGCTTAGCAGCCATGGAACAGATGCCTTGGATAATCTGGCCCCAACAAGACAGAAGGACTCTGTTGAAAGTGAGTCTAGCGCTGAGAAATAAATGTAAATTTCTCTTCCTCTGAACTTGAGGAATTTTTTGGAAGACCTGCTTCATTATAAAGTACTAAGCGATAGGAAATCTCTCAATATTTCAAAGGAGGGGGTTGTTCTTAGGAAATTCAATAAACTCAGATTTTCTTTGGTTTCCATTTAGGTAAATCCCTCTTAATATGACAGATAGAGTGAGGTAACTCAATCTCTTCTCTAAACTTATATTGTAATATTTAATAGGGATATCAACCTGTAGATCAGAACCTTTCTAATGTATCTCCTGGCCTTTTTTTTTTTTTTTTGTCACTCTCTAAATCTTTGATTTATTGGAATTTCCAAGGGAGAGGCAAAGAGATGAAGTTGCCCAGAGCAGTGATATCTCCTCCTGCCCTTCAATCAAGAAATTGACTCTTAACATCCCCAGCGATGTCCTCTCTGAAGACATCACTGTCAGCCTCAACAGCCCAATACCAGCAGTGATTTGGAATTTTGTTGTTGTTGTTGTTATGTACCATCTTTTATGGGGAAATAAATAGCTGGTGCCCTGGACTAGGAAATAAGTAACTCTATCATTTGGCCTTTTCAGGAAACAGTATCAACTGAGTAGTAATGAATGAGTAGGAGCTCTGGTGGCATAGTGCCTAAGGCATTTAACAGTTAACCAGAAGGCTGGGGGTTCAAACCCACCAGCCACTCCTCCGAAAGAAGGTTGGACAATCTACTTCCATAGAGATACTGCCCCAGAAACCCAAGGAGGGGTTGCTATGAGTTGGATGCAACTCGAAGGTAGTGAGTTTGTTTTTTTTTTTTTTTTTTTTTTTTTTTTGTAATGAATGAGTATGGTGATCTCCATGGTAAATATTTGCAATTGTATTCATTTTATAGGGCTATTGTAGCAAAGTACTACAAATTGATTGGCTTCAAAGAAGAGAAGTGTAATCTCTCAGTTCTGGAAGCTGCCCTTCTGTAGGTGGGACATCTCTCTGAAGGCTCAGGGGAAGGAATCCTTTCTTGCCCCTTCTAGCTTCTGGTGGTCAGTGGCATTCCTTGGCTTGGTGGCAACATAACTCAAACTGCTGTCTCCATTTTCATGTGGCCATATTTCCTCTCTGTTTTCTCATAAGGGCACCGTCATGAAGAGATTCGGGTTCACTCTATTTTAATATGACCTCTTGTTAACTAGTTATATCTGCAAAGACCTAATATCCAAATAGGGTCACATTTACAGGTACCAGTGGTAAGAATTCAGCATATATATTTTGAGGACACAAATCAACCCATAAAAGCAGGCTGGACATTGAGGAAACAGTAGTCTTTTTTTCCATCACATGCAACTCTCTTTTCTCCTAGCTAAAGTCTAATCTCCTAATGGCAGGGTGGATAAGGATAATATCCTTATATCTTGATATCATCAATATCCACATCTCACAAACACACACAAGTCCTTGCACTTGGTGGCAATCTGGCCAGAAGTATCTCCACCTGGTGGCAAAAGTTATCACCTCAGGCACACAACTAAGCCTTCTCGTTTCCCTTTAGGCTTAGTGTTTTCCCTGGTGCTGTTATATAGTAGTGAAATTGGGGTCATAGAATATTTCAGTCATTTCTGTGATTATATGTGGATACATACATTTATTTATATTGATTCTTTGTCCATTAAATTTATACTATAGACCTTAATGCTTGTTTGTTTTTTTTTTTTTAATATCAGAGAATGGGTATAGTGGTGACTTCTTTGATCCTGAGTTGGAAAACCTGATCTGGCAGGAAATGCTCATCTTGTCCTTAAATGCATGTAAAGTTTTCACCTTGGAGCCACTTCCCTGAAGTCCAGTCTGTTGTTGTTATGTGCCGTTGAGTCAGACCCGACTCATAGCGACCGCTCCTTGGGTTTCCAAGGCAGTATCACTATGGAAGTAGATTGCCCAACCTTCCTTCCGAGGAGTGGCTGGTGGGTTTGAACCGCCAGCCTTCGGGTTAGCAGTCAAGTGCCTTAAGCACTATGCTACCAGAGCTCCTGCAGTCCAGTCTGGCAGACTGTAGATGGATATTTGGGTGGGACAAGTCTGATAGCTGGCTTAAGTAGAAGATTCTCTGCCTTTGGAATCTGATTGTCACTGCCTTGTTCTTCATGGCTTTTGGCTGAGGCACAGAGAAGCTTTTCTGCAGTCAGCAAAAAGGCCTCCAGCCACCCTAGAAGTCTTCTACATCTGACCTCCAGGCTGTCCCAGACAGGGGGTAGAAAGAGACACCCCTCATTTCTCCACTTTCAGGAAATGTGGGTTTTCCTGAAAAACCTATTGCTGTGGAGTTAATTCTGACTCGTGGTCACCCTGTGTGTACCAGAGTATAGCTACCGCATAGGATTTTCAAGGCCACAGCCTTTTAGAAACAGATGGCCAGGCCTTTCTTCTGAGGTGCCGTTTGGTAAATTCAAACTGACAACCTTTCCGTTAGTAGTCCAATGCTTAACCATTTGTGCCACTCAGAAAACTCCTTGCCTACAAGAGGGGAGAAACTAATATTCAGTTTGATAAATGATGCTACTCTCAGTTATTTTTCAAATTTTATTAAAATTAAATGTGTTAATTCTTTGCTTTTACACCCTGGAGCAATTCTGGAGAGAAAACATTTTTAAAAATTGAACAGAAAAACCATTATGAAAGGCACCAAGCTCTCATTTGTTAAATGACTTTGTGCTCTTGAAAAGAAATGTATAAAAAGCACATGTGCACACTGCTATGCATGATTTCCTTTGTTTGGATTTGAGAAGCAGTTTGACTGACAGAGATTCCAAACGAGAGAATCTTTGGGTACTAAAAGTCTTTTAGAGAAGAAGGTGAGACACAAGATTTCAGAGAGCACATTGTTCTGTGTCAGGTTATACTTAGCTCTGAACCACACTACTTTCCTGTCTATGTTTCATTTCCTGAGGTCTTGCCAAGTGATAAACAGACCCAGGCATGTGGTAGATTTGGGTTTTTTTTTTTTTTTTTTTTTTTTTAACACGAATCAGGTTGCTGGAGTTTGCTTAGTTAGAGGCATCAATTCGCTTCTGTGATCGTTATGGAAATGCTGGTATGAGGCCATCCGGAGACTATGGAGAGAAAATGGACATACTATGCTGTCTATTCCATCATCCAGATACACTTTGTCAGGGGTAAGGCTTCTAGTCATCCTTTCTTGTCATATCGGCGCTTAAGAGCCAAGTGCTATTTATTTAAAATGCCACGTGACTACTCCTGAAATTCATCACCAAAGGGCAAATCATTATGAAAGTTTTCAGTTATGTATTTAAGTGGCAGCTAACAGAGGTATGTTAGAGTCTAGAAATGATTACTAAAGAACACTAAAAACAAGAAGGGAACAGGTGATTTGGGCCACTGCTCTGAGGCATTTTCACCTATTTCCTTTCTAAGAGGATCTCTAGAGTAATTGGGAAATTGTGCTTCTTGGAAATGAAATGCTCTCCAAATGGTAGTCACAACAACTCCAGAATGCTGGAAAAATCACAAAGCCATCAATGCTCACAGATTCTTACTCAACTTTTTCTCTCTCAAGTATCCTTTTTCTTTTTGATATAACAAGCATTTCTCCTCCAAATACTGAGCTCTTTGGGAGTTGAACATATGTTGAATTTTAATGAGGTATATGTGGTTAAGGACCTGAGAGACCAAGTGGATCCTTATGACAGTGGGAAGCAACTCCTGAAGGGCCTATTTAAAAATAGAAGGTAGAAGATTAATCCTGCATTTCAGAGCATGTGGGTATTATAGTAAGTCACAGTGTCTTTCGAATCGACTGTGTTTTTCAGATCTAGTGATTTTTTTTTTTTTTTTAACTGTTATTGCAACAGAAGTTTTTAAGGCGAATACCTAAATCAAAGGAGACTTTGGAATATAATTCTGTAGATATGATCAGAGGCATGTTATCAGGGAAAGGATAGCTCACAGGGAGCTACATTAAACTGCATTAACTTCTGCCTACCCAAACTTTGACATCCATAAAAGTATAATAAATCCTTTTATTATCAAGTACTTTTAAGAGCCTTGTTTCTTCTCAGTTGCTGTCATCTTTTAATCTTTTCCCTTTGTGAGCTTTGGTGGTACTTGTCACAATAATATATCATTGCTGTAACAGTATTCCATGTTAATTCTAAAACTGAGGCCTAGACTATGGAAGACATGTCAAAGGCTCAATGTTTAACATAATTTAGGGGCTTGGTACCATTTGGTCAGAGAGGTGATGAGAGGGACTTTTCTTTTATGTCTAGAGTTTCAGAGTATTGCCTATAATGACCAAACAGTTTATCATTCGTGGAGCTTCTACCTGACATATTCTCTTTCCTCTTCCCTTCAGAAGACCTAACTATAAGGAGATAGAGACCCTTTTGATTTTATATGCTGAATGCCAAATGCCTTACTCTAACTCAACCAGTGTGAATTTGGGTGGTAGGTTGGAGGTCATGGAGAAAGCATAGGCTCTGGGCAAATGAATTCATGTCCTTTTACTGGAGATGTGACTTTTGACAAATCATTTAATCTCTCTGTTCCTACCCTGTTTCCTTGTTGGTAAATAGGGTTAACAACCTCACCATATAGGGTGTGAGGAGGACATCGAATGAAATAATATATGTAAAAGTCTTTTGTAAACACATACAAGAAACTGCTATATATACAGTAGTTACTTTTATAATTTCAGAAATTACCAGTGTGTGTTGTATATAGCTGTTGATTTATAACTGAAAGAAAAAAACAGTGATATTAAATATAAGAATGTTGTTAGTTGTCATTGCATTGGTCCACAACTCATGGTGACACCATGCACAATGGAATAAAATGTTCCCGGTGCTGTGCCTTTGGCACAATCACTTGTGGATAAAACTGTTGTGATTCATAGGGTTTTCACTAGCTGATTTTGGGAACTTGATTACCTGGCCTTTCTTCCTGGTCTCTCTTAATCTGAATGATCCATTGAAACCTGTTCATCATCATTGCTACACACTAGCCTCACTGGCAGATGAGTATTAGCTGCACATGAGGTACCTTGGCCAAGGTGTCCTGCATGGAAGGCAAGAATTGTACCACTGAACCACTCCCAAATATAAGGATATAAAAATAATTGTTGTAATAAGTTTGCTGGTGGGCTTACTTTTTAATAGGCTTAGTTTTATCCAGAGGTGGTCAGTGACCTTAAATTATTTTTTAGATAGAACAGACAGAGATAAACATTCAGAAGGCTAATTTCTTCTAGTTTCCCTGAGCGAAAACCAAAAACAAAATGAAACTCGCTGCCGTCAAGTCAATCCTGACTCACAGTGACCCCTCCTTGGGTTTCCAATGCAGTAGCTCTATGGAAGTAGATTGCCCAGTCTTCCTTCTGAGGAGTGGCTGCTGGGTTTGAACTGCCAGCCTTCTAGTTCACAGTCAAATGCCTTAGGCACTATGCCACCAGAGCTCATGCTTCCTTATTTGTATTGAGTCTCATGCCTCTCTGTGTGGATGATGCCCAAGCTCTCTTCCACCACTAGGGCAGCCAGGGAGAAACCTCCTCAGTTGTGCCCTCACCTTCTCAAAATGATCAGAGTTGTTAATTAAGAGTTACTGTATGGAAATCATGCAAACTGATGACTGATGTTCTTCCTTTTCAGGAATATGGGAAGAAACAATCAATGCAGGAGAAGCAGGAGAAAACATTTATGCTTTGCCTGGCTCCAATGTCAACTTGACCTGCCAAACACGAAAAAAAGCCTTCTTGGTGCAGATGCAATGGTCCAAGGTCACCAATAAGATGGACCTGATTGCCCTATATCACCCTCAACATGGCTTCTACTGTGCCAGTGAGAGTTCCTGTGAGTCACTTGTGGCCTTCACAGAATCTCCTGGTAATGTGATAAAATGGACTTTGCACTTACGGAATGTATCTTCCTCACTCAGAGGAAAGTATGAGTGTAGCTTTACTTTGTATCCAGAAGGCACTTGGACAAAAATCTACGACCTACTCATTCAGAGAAATGGTAAGCATAACTGGTAGAGGGAAGGAAGCACACACTTTCATTAAGCTCTCACTCATTCAATAAATATGTGTTATATGAGTCAGCACATACTAGGCGTGGTATACAACAGATAAGTAGAACCTCTAGTGGGAGAGAAAGAACTCAGCCAAATAGTTTCACAAATAAGCATAAAAATGCAAAAGTGATAAGAGCTAATAATAATAATCACAACAGTACTGTGAAAGAGTATTTAATAGAGGCTAGGAAAATTATTCCTAAGGAAGTAACACTTGAGCTGTGGTGTGAGGTCTGAGTAGATGTTAATGTTATTTGCGAAGGAGGACATTTATGTGTGACACAGAGAGTGGGTTCAGCATGTGTGAAGGGCTGTGTGGTGTTTCAGGAAATGGGGAAATGCCTGTGAGATGGCACTGCAGATATTTAAGGATGGGGCTGGAGATGTGGTAAAAACCACATCATGTTGGACATTGTCAGAGCTTTGATTTTTATCCTAGGAGCCGTGGGAGGACAGTGAAATATACACAACAAAAAGATGGCATAAAATTGCCATTGTGAGTATGACTGTGTTATAAAAAGATCATGCTGGCTGCAGTTTGAGAATGGAGTGAAGGTATACAAAAAGGACATGTGAAGACAAGTGACATGACTACCTTAGTATCCCATAGGAGTGAGAGTGGTGCTTTAAGTAGATACAGAAAGAAATATAACAGATTTTGTGTTTTGGGCCTTATATAGATATGACTTGATAATAGATTGGATATAGGAAGAGGGAAGCATGGGTGAAGGAGAGGAAAATATGAAAGATGACATCTGAATGTTTGGCCTGCATGCCTGGACAGTGGTCCTATTCACTGAGAAGGAAGACAAAGGAAGGCTACCAGGTTTATGGGGGGGATTTATGAATGTGGCTTTGGATATGTTGAGGATAGGACAGATAGATACAGATGGTAAGGAGACTGTTAGACATGTAGCATTTATGCCACACAGGCTTCAGAAACCTTCATTTGGAGGCAGGAATCCTCGCTTTAAAGTCTAGTTCATTTCTGGTCAAGTCACCTGTCATACAAACTTGCTGAGACTATCTGGAAAATGATGATAATAATGCCTCCCCTAAATTACTTGGTCCTAAAGTCAAATTACTTCCATTTCTACTAATGAAAATGAAAGCCAACAAATGGAAAACACACTGGAAATGGAGTATTTTTAACTCAGGGAAAAGTGGTCTGATATAAGCAAAAGCAACAAAAATTAACTCATGAAGGCCATGATAAAGGAGGCGGGGAGCTGTCCAGGACAAGCAACAGGGATGGATTTATTACCTCTGTTCTGTGGCTTATCTCTTCTCTTCCCCAAGACCAAGACATTGAAACAGTCCACTTATAGACCAGGACCCCTTCTACCATTACCTAATGATGCTGTGTTTTCACTGTTGTTTCTCAATGGGAAAAGTACTTGAGTTCAGTTGGGGGTGCTGGGGTATGGATGAATAAACAGAAATAAGGAGGACTGTACACAACTCCAGTGGTGTAGTGGTTAAGGCATTTGGCTGCTAACCAAAAGGTCAGTGGATCAAACCCACAGCTGCTTCACAGAAGAAAGATAAAACAGTCTCCTTCTATAAGGATTTACAGCCTTGGAAACCTAATAGGGATTGCTATGAGTTTGAATAGACTCGATGACAATGAGGTTTTTTTGTTTTTTTGAGTTTTTCTTGGGTACACATCAATATTTAGTTACACATACTTTGATGTCAGGAACATTAGATTTGAATGTTTGGCTCTACTACTTAGAATATATATGATCTTAACAAGTGATTTCAAGTGTCTAAGCTTTTCTTTCTTTACATAAATCATATGGAAAATAATAATGCCTCCTTCATTCCAGTTGCTGCCACGTGTACTCTGACTCATGGTGACCACTTGTGTGTCAGAGATGACCTGTGCTCCGTGGGGTTTTCAATGGCTAATTTTTCAGAAGTAGATCAACTAGGTTTGCTTCTGAGGTGCCTCTGGGTGGACCCAATTCCAACCTTTCAGCTAGCACTATCTGGGGATTCTACCTCTTTCATGTTGAAGTTGCCACATTTGTCTGTCAGTTTGTTGTACTTTGGTGGCTTGCATGTTGCTGTGAGGCTGGAGGCTATGCCACAGGTATTTCAAATACCAGCAGAGTCACCCATGGTGGACAGGTTTCAGCAGAGCTTCCAGACTAAGACAGACTCAGGAGAAAGAAGGGGCCATCACTTCTCATAGAATTGACTATTGAAAACCTTATGAATAGCAGTGAAGCACTGTCTGATATATCACTGGAAAAATTTATGATTAGCCCTGAAACACTGTCTAATATAGTGCTGGATGACGGGCCCCTCAGGTCCACACTCAGAGGCACCACCTCTTTCATAGTTACCTTTATGTTGATGATTAAATGAGATAATCTGTGTAAAGGACTTAGCGTAGTTTCTGCCAAAGGGTAAAAGGTTGGTAAATGTTAGCTTGTGTTAAAAGTAGTAGTAATAATGAGTCAACTCAGTTTCTCAATTTTTATTAAAAATCAGCCCTCCTCTCTCTCTTCTTATATTGGCCTAATTTGGAGCCCAACAGGACATTTGTTATCTGTGTTAGCATAAATGCACACTGACCTTAACTTTAGATGTAGATTTTATATCTTTTGTTCGAACCACTAGACAACCATTGTACATCTGAGGACATAATGCCTGACAAAATGAGCTGATGTGTGGATATATGGTGGTTCAAAATGAAGATAACAATGGAGAAGAGGTACTGAGTTATTCAAAAAGGAGACTGGCATTGCTTCTAAGGAAAATACATTTCTTAAGATAAAGGGCAACCTAACGGGGCTAAGCTTGTACAGTTACCAACCACAAATCATTAGAGAGGCAGAAGCCATAACTATATCATTTGTGGCTGGAAAATTTCCAGTCCTTTGATTCTAATTTTGCTGTTCAGATGAAAAGCAGTGGCTTCAGCCTTATAGCAACTGTTCTGGTGTTGTGTATTTAGGTACAATGGAAGCAAAATGGAAAGGAGCAAAACAGATGGGGACAAGTATCCCTTGCCAAAAGAGTGATCAAAAAAGTAAGCCTGGTTGAAGGCCATGGAGTAGACACATAACTAGAGGAGGCAGTTGCCTTCTGAGATTCCTATCAAGTCCCCACTCAGCATCCACCTTTTCTCCATTTATTCATCTTCTTTAGTTTCTTCTCCTTTCATTTGTGCTATTTCTCTCTGATACTTTTGTGCTATCTTCAAGTTTATAAGCTAGTCAGGTAAGCAAAACACCTATGAAATGCCAATACTTGTGAAGTGCATAAACAAATGCAAACTGAAGTGGTGTAAAGGAATCTAAATACAAAAATGGCCAGCAATCAGAAGCAGTTGGGTTAATCACCTCTTTCTGTTTACTTTCTGTTGTCATCTGAGTCATTGCCTTCCCTGTATGCTCATAAAACTGTATCTAAATCCTGTCCCCCTGCTCCCAGAAGGCATAGCTGAAAAAGGACTCTGTTCTGTTTTCACAGCATGTTGTTCCTGCATGTGTCTTAGTGGCTGTGAATGGGGGTGAAAATATGATAAACTGTTTGATATTTTCTTCTTTTTCATTTTCACTTGGCAAGGTTTCCCCTTAGGTTAGAAACTTTTTAATTATTCCAAGAATACAGTATTCTAAGTTAAGCTTTGGGTTATTGCAATCTTCTAAAATTTTTATAATTTAGTATTACTGGACATCATCATACATTTTTAAATTTGAGGTTAAGAGGATTAATTATAATAGTATAGTCCTGTTATTATTCCCCAAATTACAACAAAAACCTTAAACCATTTGCCATCAATTTGATTCAAATCCATGGTGATCCCATGTATTGCAAAGTATAACTGTGCTCCATCTTCAGAGCTATAATCTTTGTGAAAGCAGATCACCAGGGCTTTCTTCTAAGGCACATCTGGGTGTTAGGACCACCAACATTTCAGTTAGTAAAAAAAAAAAAAAAAAAAACAAAAACCCACTGCCATCAAGTTGGATCCGACTCATAGTAACCCCTCCTAGGGTTTCTGAGGTGGCATCACTATGGAAGTAGATTGCCCAACCTTCCTTCTGAGGAGTGGCTGGTGGGTTTGAACTGCCAGCCTTCAGGTTAGCAGTCAAATGTCTTAGGCACTATGTCACCAGAGCTCCCTTTCAGTTTGTAGTAGTGTACTTAACTGTTTACACTATGAGGAACTCCTTAACAAAAGTCGTAGGGAGCTGTTAGTGTTGTTACGGGAAGTAGTAGTAGAAGGAGGAGGAGTAATAGAATTAGCAACAACAGTACTAATCCTGTCTAGGATCGTAATTTTTATTGAATCTGAATGCTGGCTCTCCTGAAATTCTTGCATTTTCCTTATTCAGATATTATTGTTTGACAGATATTTTTGTGTGTATATACTTACAGTGCTAGACACTGAGGATACAGTGATGTACAATATGAACTTGACCCTGCCCTCATGAATCATGAAGTCCAATGGGAGGAGACAGACATTAACTAAATGAGCAGAAACACAAATGTCAAATTGCAACAATGGGAAGTGCAATAGCAGTGAGGAAGTAGATAATGTTATGATACCACTTATTGGAGAAATGATGCTTCAGCAGAAGTTTACCAGGTAAAAGTAGGTGGGTACAGAACATCCTTGGGTGGGAAATGATATAATCTACACAGAATTTAAAAAGGAGCTATGGTGGCACAGTGCTTAAGGTATTTGGCTGCTAACCAAAAGGTCAGCAGTTTGAATCCACCAGTGGCTCCATATCCTAGGCATTAGCAATCTGAAATAGGCTGGTTTTGGCCATTTTGAATCAGACAACTATATGATCTACTATGCTGGGAATGACAAATTGAAGAGGAATGTTGTGGCATTCATCATCACAAAGAATGTTTCAAGATCTATCCTGAAGTACAGTGCTGTCACTGATAGGATAATAGCCAGACACCTAAAAGGAAG